CATCTAGTAGGAGGCCAGAAATGCTGTTAAGCATCCTTTAATGTACAGGATAGAATTCCACGACAAAAAATTATCCACTCCCAAATGTCAGCAGTGCAGAGGTTGACAATCTCATGATTAGAAAGACTTAGAGAAAAAACTGGAGAGTAGGTTTAATGGGTTGATAAATAAGATTGCAAGAGGGCAGGTCTCACAGAGTCAGAGGAGTCAGAGGAGTAAATGGAGGTCATAAAATATAAGAAAGGATTTATGGACAACTTAAGAAGAATGAAGAAAACAAATCAAGTATCTGGAAAGATAGTAAAAAAAAAAAAAGGTATCGCTGAGCCTTGGTGAATCCCTGAGAATATTGGGAAAAGTCAGATCTGTGGTGGCATGCATGTGTGTATATGGGGTGGAGGTATAAGATTGGTTTAGAAACTACCTTTTAGAGTAGAATGTTGAGTGAGAGTTAACACACAGGTTCTTTAGGATTGTAACCACATATTAATCAACAATAATAAAGATCTATTCATGTTTAGATGAACAAAGTTTCTAATTAAAGTCAATTCTAAAAACAGCAATGAAGCATACAGATTTAACTTATAATTACTAAATATAACTAAAATTTTAAATAAAAACTACAAAATTTCTAAAATACCAACTTAAAATGTTTTCATGTCATTTAAAGATGAGTATTTTATTTCATGTTACCTGTAGACTCTGACTCTGTACATCATCTAGAGTTGGAAGATCAGCCAGATACTTCTCCAAGGTCTCAATTCTTCTCTGCTTTTCCTTGTTTTGTTCAGATTCTTTCTGGCATTTCTTTTTCAGGCTACTGATGTACCTATCTCTGGTTTTAAGCTAAAAAAAAAAGAAAAAAAAAGATTATGAATCTCCAATAGTTTTATGTCATTAAAAATACAATAAGAAAATGAACATTCTAATCGTAGGCATCACTGAATTCTCCAATAGTTCCTGGTTAAAGTTAATGCCACCACCAACTCAAGTAAGATTCACCTTATTCCATCAATTCTAATATTCACATTTTTTCAAGTTTTCACATCATGGAAATTGAGTTTTTGGAATTTTTGTTTGTTTTCTTTTACAACTGATGGCATCCTACGAACTATAGTCAGGAAGTAATAACGATGTACCTTTTATTGCCTGCATATGTGAAATTTGGTCAAGGCTATTCATATCATTAGCATCTCAACAGTGTTATGTATATATTGAAACTACATATTTAGTTTAAATGATGTTTAAAATACCTTTTAAAATGTTACATTATAATATGGCATTGAAAAAGTTATTGGGTACCAAGAAAGACACAGAAACAGCGCTGTGGCGTATAATTTCAAAATCTGTGAACCAAGTCATTCTCTGGAGGAATGACTCTAATTCTTATTTCTTGCAAAGCTATATCCAAATGTTTTATGTGAATTAAGAATGGAAGATACCTATAAATAATTAAAGCTGTTCTATTATTAACAAACTTGCAAAGCAATTGCTTATCATGTATTAAAGCAATGCAATCAAAGCTAAGAGGACTTACTAAAATTATCAAAAACTTAGGAACTGATAAAGGGACTAGTGAGACCAATCCATACCTCAAGTAAGACTACTGTTAAGGCACTGTGTCATAGTTAAAATTATAGCATATTTTCCTTATAAAAATTACTTAAAGATGTGCCTTACCATTAATGTCATTTTAGGATTGATGAAATATGTTAACTGAGCACCCACTATAGAACACATGCAGTACATGATTCTAGCAAATCCCAATTTGTGTAGGCTGAACCTCAAATTTTAAAAACTTCAATTGCAAAAATGAATAATTTCATTTTATCTATTTACTCCATCAATAACATTAGGATCCATTTATTACCTTGAGTAAGAAGCGACACTGGTAAAACAGACAAATCCCATTATTTATTGGGGCTTTTTCAGGATTAAAGGCAAGTGTGCTGGTGTGACAATTTAACTTGTGACCTATTAGAATTCACAGACTGCTGGCACTGGTGGTGACCTGAAGGACCATATAATAAAATTCCCTTTTTGATTATGAGGCCCAGAGATCTTTAGTGATTTAACTACAAGTCACAGAGACAGGGTTGGAATTTAAACATAGATTGCTTGACTGAATATTAAAAGTCAATGTTCTTTCAATCCCTCCACACAACTAAGAACCAGATTCCCACAAATTCTCTAGCTACAAGCTGTGCCCAGATTCCCCATCAACAAAGCCTGCTCTTGCCTTAGGAAATGACCCAGTAAGTTACAGAAGTAAATATAACTAACCAGCCTATTTTTACTGACTGCTCTCTAATTTACATTCAATTGTTTAAGAGTCTTAAATGTGACACTATGATATCGTCAGAAAGGTCAGTCATATTATCTTCTACTGTGCAAAGATGTCCTAGTTTTCTTCTTTTTCTTTGGTCAACTGCCTTCTTTGCTATCATGTCAAGCTTGCTGCCGTTGATCACAAATCTCTGCAAACAATCTCCTATTGGATACTATCTCTGTTATTTGTTGACCACAAATTGGTAATACATAACCACTGGGTTTTGGGTTTTTTACAGCCCTGCTCACTGATGAGAAGCTCTTCTGTTTTGTTTTGTTTTAACTTCAAAGTTTTGTGTTGTTTCAGATTAACAGACGTTACTGTAGTCTGAACGCCACTAATTAGCTCCAGGTAAATAAGACATCACTAATAAATCTTTCCTATTCTATTTTTAAAAAGTTAAGTTTTTCTTTTCAAGGAAGTATTATGCAATACTAGGATCATTCCTAGAAGGCAACAGGAGTGCCCTATTTTAGAAGAGGTTTAAATTTATTTTTATTTTAAATACAATAATTAGAACAAAATAGGTTAATGAGGAAATGTTTTCCTCTAAATTTTTTATAAAGCATTATTATTAGAACCAAAGCATCTACTGTACAGTTATAGTGTCTTGAATTTTATCCCTAGCTTTTCAACAATTCCTGTCTACATGCAACTAGACAAATACTCAAACTACTATTCTCAAAGCTTTGGTTACCTTGTTTTTTAAAATGAAAGTATAGTATATACCTTGTAGGGTTTTTCTGAAGATTAGGATTAAATAAGATGATGCATTTAATGCACATCAACACGCTATATGGCTCATCAAAGAGTAATTTCTATCATCATCATCATCACATTAAATGTTTTTCTTTCATAGAATCAGTCTTGATCAGGATTACAAGTAAATGCAGAAGGAAACAATGCAATCCAATCTCACATGGGCCTGAAGTACTGTTTAGCTGAAGTATTATCAATGAGTCTATTTTCTAGCTTCTATACTCCCTTCAAGATCTCAAATCACTTCTATGTCCTCTTATACAAACTCTACCCTCTATATTCACCCCATCCTCAAGTTTTCCTGGTATTAACATTTCCATTCTTAATTGCTTCACTCCACAGAAAGGCTATCACTCTTTTCTATGAGTGCCTCTTCCATCTGGTGTCTGTTAGCAACCTTTCCCTGTTTCTTTCAGGAACCTTCCCCATCATGTGCCCACTCACACATCTTTGGTATCGCTCTCTATTCTTTCCTTAGTCCTTTGTTAGGGTTACCTCATTCCCTTTTCTTCTCCTTTGGGAAAAAAATCACTTGAAACATTCCTTCATTCATTCATTTATTCATTTGTTCACTCATTCAATATTCCAGACAACATGGCTGGTGCTACATATGCTACAATGACACATTCAGATACATCCCTGCCTTCGTGGAGCTTACAGAGAAATAAAATAAAAAATAAATAAAAAAATATAAACAGGATGCAGGGGAAGATAGAACGATTAGGATTTTTTTTCCCTCCACAAATTAAATCCCACGGCTAAGAAGTAGCCAATTATAAGCCACACTGCCTTAAAATAAATACAAGTATTTATTGGCCCATTTTCTTCACTTTCTCAGAAAAGTAATGAGATCCTTGCTTCTAACTTCCCAAGAAATGTCTAGAATAAAATAAATAAAATATTAAAATAAAATAAAATGAATGAATGAATGAATGAATAAATAAATAAATAAATAAATAGATGCTTATTCAAAATTGCACTGGGGAGAAAAGGAACAAAGTGCTCTAAGTATATAAAAGGAGGCTAAAGATATTTAAGTGGAGACTTGACAAAATATAGGTGACTGGGAAAAGAGAGCCAAGTATCCTACCTAGCAAAGAGGATACTTTGTGTAAAAACCCTGATAGCAGAAACAAAGCTTGACCTGTTTGAGCAACTGTAAGACACCGTACCAGAGGGCTAAGGCTACATAATTAGGTAGGGTCATTTAGGTCATGGGGAAAATCTGATTCTTATTTTAAAGACAATGAGATGGCATTAATTAATAAAGTAAGTGAAAAGTAAGTGAAATGACTGGTTTTTCTTGCTTAGTCCCCCACACTATCAAGAATGGATTTAAGAGGTTGTGGAGCAACTGGAGCTCTCATACATTCGTTTTGGAAGTGTTAAATGGTACAAACACTTGGAAGAACTTAGGGAGTTTCTTGTAAATTAAACATCTATTCTATGAACTGTATGACCCAGAAATTCCACTCAGAGATTTATCCAAGATAAATTAAAACATATGTAAAACATACAAAGAGTCTGGTACAAGAATGTTCACAGTAGCCTTATTCATAATTTCCCCAAATTGCAAACAATCTAAATATTCATGAACAGATACACTGTGGTCTATCTACATAATGAAATGCAACTCAGCGATTGATAAGAACAAACTACCAATACATGCAACAATATCGATAAACCTCAAAGACACTGAGTCAAAGAAAGGCGACACAAAAGAATGTACACTGTATGACTCTATTTACATGAAGTTCAATAAGACTCAAAACTAATCAATATTGAGATTAAAAAAAAATGTTTCAAGGAGGAAAAGGAAACTAGAAAGATGCAAGGGAACTTCTTGGGTGACTGAAATGTTTTGTGTTTCATTTTAGATAGTAGTTATATGGGTATATACTATTAGCAATACTTATCAAAATAAACACTCGAGATCTGTAGATATGACTACATATAAATTATGCTCCAATTTTTTAAAAATATAATTAAAAAACAAAAACAGAATTGCAATAACAAAAAAAGTGGATGGAGGGAAAGTGCAGATAGGCAAGGCAAGAGAAGATTCAGAGACACCAATGAAGAGGTCATTACAAAAGCTTTGCCAAGAGATGATAACTGGGACCATGCTGGTAGCATTGGATAGTCTGTAAATATTTAGGAGATAGGCTTGATTAGTAAAATTTCTAGCATGAGTAAGTGACTATACAGTGATAAACCCTGAAAAACAATTTGTTTCATTTCAGAAGAATAGGACAGTCAGAGGCAAATTAAGAATTACATTTTAGATATAAAAAGTGTGAAATCTTTTTAAGACATCCAAGTAGCTGTCAAATAGGTAGTTAGTATATAAATTGATTTTATTAAGCAGTGAACACCAAAAGTAATAAGAGATGAAAAACTTAGATAAAACAAAAATAAATTTTAAAATTGTATCCATAGAATAATTTTCACACGATCTTTTAATTAACAAGTCTCAGATGAGAAAATAGTTTAATCTCTCCCACATCTGTATGACTAGTGAATATTTCCTTAGCTCCCTCCAAATTGTGGTATTGTATGAAGCACAAAAAATACAGAAAAGAAACAAGAAACAGGTACTTAAAAACACTTCATGTTAGCCAAGATAAAATATATCACACAGCTACAAAGAGAAACCATGTAAAATTTTTGTCAACTCATACACACACACACTCACTCACACAAAAATGTCAGTTTTTAGTTCTCTATTAAGAGCTCCAAATCTCCCTACAGAAATCATAGTGACCTGCTTCATAATCACTGGAATAGATGGTTCAGTTAATGATAGAATAATAAGCTGGATATATCAAGAAAGAAATCTACAACCAGTTCTGCCACTAAATAGCAGCTTAAGGATCTGTGCTTCCTCAGTAAATTATGGCTAGCATGTACCCTACTTTATCATGAATAATATTATAAAAAAATGATAAAATATGTAAAAACTTTAAAATGGAAAGATCAAATAAATATAGAAATATATTGGATATATAAAGGTATTTAGCTAGCTAATTATTCTAAATCAGGGGCTACAGCTTAAATAACCTGAAGCCATTTACTTATTTCATCTACAATAATCATGCCCTACATGACAAAGAATCAGGGCTCAAAAAAAGGGGAACAGTTACTGGTGTCACATCTCAGTGTAGGCAACTAACTTTAAAAAGGTTTCACTATTAGGTAGAAAGATACAATACACAGTGTTTTCATCCCTCAAGAAAACCCCTGGATTTTTGTAGACAGAGTTTCTCAAAAGTTACTACAAATCTAATCACTCCAGTATAAATGTACAGCTTGGTATGACACCTGGCATAGAGTCGAAGACAGTCAACTATATGCTGAAGGAAAGTTGTTGACCTAATTTAACTTTATTAAAAATACCTACTTTTTCCTCCAGTTTCTTCTTCTCATCACTAAATTGGCTTAATCTCTGTTTGAGAAACTGATTAAGTTGTAACACCTCTTTCTCAGTAGATGCAAGCTTCTGTTCAAGTTCCTCTTGCTGAGAACCAGACACTGACTGATCTGAAAACGGAGTCTGCAGTGAAGTGTTCTCAAATTGTGGCTATTAGGAAAGAATGAAAAAAAGGTAAGACTTTAAGTATTTACTTGTTTTGAACAAATAAAAACAAATTAGAAATGAGATACAGTACAAAGAGTATATAGAGGCTTTAGCTACAAACAGACCTTGGCATAAATTCTAGCTCATCACCAGTTTAATAAAGTACCACACACACACACACACACACACACACACACACACACAATGAAACTGTCAAAGTGCTAAAATAGTTGCATGTGTAGTAGCTATGGCAAGGTGGAAAGGCTCTACAGAAGCATATATATATATATACACATATATATATATGTATATACATATATATGAAAGCCTCTGTAAACTCGAACTAGGCCTTAAAGAACTCAGACTTTCAGAAAAGGTGGAGATGCAATTAAAAAATTATATAAATAGCATTTATCACATGCAGGGTATTTTAAAGATGATAGATTTAGGTATCGCTCTTTATAAACTCAAATATAAACAGAGGCATGAGAAACCTGTAGATAATTATATATAGGATATATTATAATATGGTAGCCTAAGAAAAGCCATCTTAAGTACAAAGGGTTGGTAGGTAGGAGGATAAATGAAGATGACATTGGGAGAATGAGAAAAAAAGGCTTTACTGGGGAGGTGGCTTTTGAAGCAAATTTTGAAAATAAAGATTCCGGCAGAAATGGAGAAAGGAAGAAAAGCATTCCAGAAAAAAATGTTTTAAAAAGGCAAACAATGAAATATATGCAGAGTATCCATGTCTGTGTCAAGTATAGGTCATAAGAGCGGGTAATATAGGGGAAAATTTCAAAATCTAAGTGGATTATAATGTAGAATCACAAGATTCAGAGTTGAACCTTAATTTGTAGGAATGGGAAACCAGTGATGGTTTTAAAACAACCAAGTAACATGATTTCAGAAGTCTATGAATTCTTGTTTATTAAATCTGTATTCCTTAACATTTAGTGTGGTGAGTAGACTAACAATAACTTTCTATTAAAAGGAAAAGAGTAAAGAGGATAAAGGACAAGTGAGTGCTACAACTGAAGGCAGTAGACAGGATGAATGATAGGATATTGAGAATGGATATGAACATATCACTTTTAAAAACTATTCTAACTTATTTGGCTAGAAAAAAATGAAGAGCTGAAGAAACTCTAGAAGTAGAACAAAAAAAATTTTTTAAATTATTTTTTAATATGTGAATGGACAAGAAATATTAAAGATAACCAAGGTTTGAAATTTTGAGTCTAACGAGAAAGACCATGTTCTGAGCAGAGGTAAAGAAGTCATATAGGAGAACAGGTCTAAGCAGATGCACTTAATTACAATTAGAACCTACTGACATTAAGATGCCAGTTGAACATGTAAGTATAGATGAACATAAGGCAATAAGTCTCCTAGCATGGCTATGCTATGCTAGGAAACTGTAAAAAGTTAATACACATAGTTTCCAACCTGGCATGTAATGGGCTTAGAAATGGCTACTTCATCTGTTTTCCTAATAAGTGAAAAGATGAACAAACTGAAAAGTCAACAACTCTTCTTAGATCTGTGAGAGAAGTGAGTTCATTGGGCAAACTGCTGCTCCCAAAATCAGAGAAGCAAGTAGAGAGAATCACACTTACGAGAAAATCACTCTTACAAGAACAGAATCCTCCATGGGAACCAATACTGGGGTAGGAAACCCAGAACTCTGTTGATGAATTGCTGGAGGCTCAGAGTAAGCAAGTCTCCAGTGGGACTCAGTCACAGAGGATCCTCAACTATTTTTAATCTCCAGGAGCTCTACCAGGTCCTAATAGTGAATATCATAGAAAATTCCCTCTTCCAACGGCAGGAAGAGAAAAGTAATCATTCTGAAATATGCTTGAACACTCTGTTCATCTTAACAAAATCTGACCTCAGGAGAAACTATTTTACCACAGACTAACCTACCTAGAAGGCTGCCTAGAAGGGAACTAACCGATCTAGAAAGGAAATCCTAACTCCAGCTACCCTAGCCTTCCACATGGGCAGGGAAAACATCATCCTGTCCCACCTAAGTGTGGGAAAGAAAAGAACTGAGAAGCAGTGAAATTCACAGTGCAGGAGCAGAGGTCACTAGAAGACTAAGACCTACTCAAAGTACCACAGAATGCTTCTCCTTGCTGCAACACCTTTCCACTACATTACCAAAGACCTATTTCCCATATTTCCTTTACCTTAGTACATCAGGTCTACCTTTCAACAAAATTTCCAAGATATACTAAAAGGTAAAAACAGTCTGGAGAGACTGAATACACATCAGAACCAGAGTCAGATATGTTAGGAATGTTGGAATTATCGGACTAGAAAGTTTTAAAACTATGAGTAATATGCTCAAGGCTTTAATGCTAAAGGAGATGACATGCAAGAACAGATGGATAATTTAAGCACACAGATGGAAATTCTAAAGAATCAAAAATAAATTCTACATATCAAAAACACTGTAACAGAACTGAAGAATGGGCTCATCTGTAGACTGGATACAGCCCAGGAAACAATCTATGAGTTCAAGGATTTCACAACAGAACTGAAGATTTCCAAAACTGAAGAGTGAAGAGAAAAAAAAAAAAAAGACTGGAAAAAATAGAACAGAATATCCAAAAACTGTGAGGTAGCTACATGTAACACACATGTAGTAGGATTATGTGTGAAGAATGAGAAAGGAACAGAAGCATATCTGAAACAAAAATGATGGAGAATTTCCCCAAACTGTCAGGTGCTACACCTCAGATCCAGGAAGCACCAAGAACACTAAGCAGAATATCAAAAAAACTACACATAAGTATATTATATTTAAATTTATAAAAATCAAAGATAAAAAAAAATTCTTAAAAGAAACCAGAGGAAAAAAACACTTTATGTATAGACAGGCAAAAAGAAAAGTTATATTCAACTTTTTAGAAACCAGGCAATAAAGAGAGAGTATAGTGAAATATTTAGTGCTGAGATAAAAAACCCACCAACCTAGAATTCTGTACCCTGTAAAATTATCCTTCAAAAGTGAAGGAGAAATAAAAACATTCGGACAAATAAAAATTGAGGGAATTTGATGCCAGTAGACTTAGCATTGCAAGAAATTTAAAAGTTGTTTTTCAGACAGAAGGAAAATGATTTAGGTCAGAAACTTGGATCTACATATAGAAAAGAAGAGCATTACAGAAGGTATAAGTAGGGGAGATAAAATAAATCTTTCATTTTTCTTAATTAACAGATAACAGCTTGTTCAAAATAATAATGACAATATATTCAATTATGTGTGTGTATGCTTATATACAGATGAAATAAATTACAGCAATGATACAAGGCAAAGAAGAGAAGGTTCAGGAATACCTAGTTATCATAATGTATTTATACTACCCATGAAAAGTATAGTGTTATCTGCAAGTGAACTTGGATTGGTTGTAAACGTATATTGCAAACTCTAGGACGACTAAAACAAAGTTTTTTTCAAAAGGGTAATGTATATTCTAAGAAAAGAGAGAAAATGGGATCATATAAAGTGCTCAATTAAAACTGCAAAAGGCAGAGAAAGTGTGCAAGATGAAAATAGGCACAAAGAACAAGAGCAATAAAACAAGCAATAAACATGGCAGATATTAATCCAACTATACCAATAATCGTTTTAAATGTAAATGGTCTAAATAAACCAACTGAGACTGTCAGAGTGAATCCAAAAACAAAGGCAACTATATGTTGTCTACAAGCAACCCACCTTAAATATAAAGACACAGATAGATTAAAAGGGATAGGAAAAATGTATAATGCTAACACTAATCAAAAGAAAGCTGAACGGAATATATTAATTTCAGGCAAAGCAAACTTTAGAAGAAGGAAGGTTATCAGGGATCAAGAGGAGCATTACATAAGGATAAAAGGGTTAATACTCCAAGAAGACATAGCAACTCCTAATGTGTATGTGTCTAAAAACTGAAGATGAAAATATGACCTTGAACACAGTAATGACTTCTGGATACACTACCAAAGATACGATCCATAAAAGAAACAACTGATAAGCTGGACACTTCATTAAAATTTTCTGTTCTGCAAAAGACAATTTATCAAGAGAATGAGAAGACAAGTCACATAGTGGGAGAAAATATCTGCAAAAGAAATAACTGGTAAAGAACTTGAATCTAAACCACTACAGAAGAGAGTGCATCTCTCGAGGAAGTAGAGGGAATCATAATTTTTTTAAATGAAGTTTATAGAGGCTTCTGTTGCCAATGCAGTAGGGTGAGCCTAGGGCTTTTCTGCAGCCTGCCAAAGATTCTAATTTTACTTTCAGTATTTTAACTCCCTTTGCCTGGGAGGGTTGGGGAACGCATATGAACCAATGAGACTTGAAAACTATACTGACATCATTCTCCGATTTACCATTACTGTATGAGTAAATTTGCACTACAGTAATGAGTTTTGTAGCAAGAGAAGCTGCAGCTGAAACTGTAGATGAAATCAAACAGAAAGTCTGAAGAGAGAATGCTTTAATTTCTACATTTAGTAAGATTTTTTCAGTCTTTACCTAATTTTTTTGAGTGTCAGACAATCACTCATTCTGTAGAGACAGCCTTTCTTCTCTTCATTGCCATGACAATACTCTTCCCCACCCACCCCACCCCACTCCCATGCTCCTTCACAAGTCCTGCTCTTTTTCTACCTTCTAAAATATTGCTGTTCCCCATCTTCACTTCGGGATCCCATTTTCTTCACTCCCTGTAATATCTGATCACGCCCAAGTTTTCAACAACCACCCAGGTAGCTTGACAACTCCTAAATCTCTTATCTCTTCCTCAAAACTGTACCCATGAATATCAGCCTCATTCTTCATCTCAGTCCCAAATTTACAATACAAAAGTTTTAACTTTTTCTCCTCTCAACCTATACCTGATATAGTAGTCTCTATCTATAAAACTGACAATACTAACCAATCAATGTTCCCCATCTGAAACTAGGCCATCATTCTCCTTCACCATATTAAACTCACTAATTCTAGCCTATGTGTGCTTACACACATGATTAATGTCTTCCTCTCATTCTTACCAAAATTGTTTCAAAAATTCAGGTGTTCATTTAATGTTCAGACTATTGAAATAGCTTCTTGACTGGTTTTCCTGCCTCCAATATCATCCATTTTAAATCCAGTCTCTATTGTGCCACTGGAGTAACCAAACTACGATTGTGGTGAGTGAAAGAGAGTGCTCTTAATAATTATGATAGTACAACAGGCATTAACTGGAACTGGTCCTAAATGTGGGACAATCGGACTCTTTATTCTCAAGACTTTGCTACAATCTGACCTCTGCTTACCTCTTCGACCACATCTCTTACTACTACCCCCTCCCTCATGTTATACTTCATCCATACAGAATAATTTGTATTCTTCCAAATGCATTACTTCTTCCTCTTAACTTTGGGCCTCCTCAACATTCAGTATATGCCTCAAAGACTATTTCTCCTTCACTTTAGCTAAGTGAACTTTTGGTTCACCATGAGGTTCTCAGATTAGATATCCCTTTCTATAGGAAGTTGTGTTCCTCATTAGGTTACGCATTAGGTTTTCTTTGAAGGAAAAACCAATTTCATTCACACTTACATTACTAGAGCCTAAAAGGTGCCTTATCTATAGTAAACATAAATAATTTTTGAAGAAATGAATAAACATATTTTTATATTTAGTCTCTCTCTGTGGGCTTCAAGATCCATGAAGACAGAAACTGTTCGTTTTTGTGGCCCCAGCATTTAACACATTAGATGTTTACGTTTAGTTGGGTTAGGCTCATTTGTAAAGGTGGGACTCATTTATAGAATGCTGAAGAAAAAATATATAAATGGAAATAGGATTAAAATAGAAATAAAACAAGGATGCATCAATGAAGCTTAATGAGAACAAGTACTATTCAGTTGATCTTTCCAAGGTTTACATGTGTGTATATGGAAAGAAATCTCTTTCTTCTTCAGTTTTTAACAAAAGAATAAAGAATCCTTCACACTTTTTTTTTTTCCCCATGAAGTCTTGTTAATCAAAGGTTGAAATTTTGGTGTAAGGTATTATAAGTACAAATCACTCTTTGGTTCTACCAATTCTACCACTAAAACAATCTAGGAAAGTTTAGATTTTAGGATAAAGATCTAGTTCTCATTTTCTACCTATGATACTTGGTGATGTCTAGGTCTCAAGTCATCTTAATTGTGAGATTATTCAAAGTTTTTAATCAGCAAATAAAAATTACTTCTCAGGAATATGTTTTTCATCTGTAAATTCATAAAAGAATGTTATTCTATTTCAAAATTTTGTTATACTTAACACAGAATATACAGAATATTAAAGGTATAATTTTCTTTGTTAATGTGCTATGAATTAGGATAAACAAGCTATGAACCCAAAAATATGCATATACAAACTTTTGTGCGTTAAAAATAATGTTCATAGATCCAAGTTAAAAACTCCTTTGCTAAAGAAATGTTTTATTATATTTGTTTCTTCTAACCCTTGCCATTTAATCAGTTATCTATAGCTCTCTAATAAAAAAAAGTTTATCTTATATATTTATCATATCCACTTACTACTTAGGGTATTTCCTTTTAGCAACTGCTCTTATCTTTTAAAATCATATTTTTCAACAATATTTTAATTCTTCACATAATTTAAAATCCTTCTAAAATCCTCCTCTCCCATATCCTTTCAGATATTTCTATCTGTCCTTGCTGACTGACTTGGAGAGCCCTCTACTGGCCTGATGCTGTGTCAAAAGTATTTCTTCAGCTTTCAGATACACATTAAATTTTACATGCTTTTAGTGATATAATAATAATTGTATAATTCAAGTAAAACCTTTATTCAAAATAATAAAGTTACAAGGGGAAACTGTTTTATCCTATTAAAATACCGTTACCATAAATAAACCCCTGCATATATGGTTGAATAATTTTTGACAAGGTGCCAACACCACCAGTCAATGGGGATGAGGTAGTTTTTTCAACAAATGATTCTGGGAAAATTGGATTATCCATATGCAAAAATAAAGTTGGATCCTTATCTAACATAATATAAAAATTAACTCAAAATGGATCAAAAACTAAATATAAGGCCTAAAACTATAAAACTCTTAGAAGAAAACGTATGGCAAAAGCTTCATGATATTGGATTTGGCAATAAATTCTTGACTATGATGCCAAAGGCATAGGCAAAAAAAAAAGTGGACAAATTGAACTTCAAAAACTTAAAATATTTTATACATGAAAAGACACTACCAACAGAGTAAAAAAGCAACTCACAGAATGGAAAATTATTTGCAAATCATATATCTGGTAAGGGATAAATATCCAGAATACCTAGAGAACTTCTAAAACTCAACAACAAAAAAACAAACAACTGGATTCAAAAATGGGCAGAAGACTTGAACAGACATTTATCCAAAGAGGATTACAGGTATACCTCATTTTATTATGCTTCTCATTATTGTGCTTGGAATTACTGTATTTTTTACAAATTTAAGGTCTGTAGCAACTCCGTGTCAAGCAAGTCTATCAGTATCTTTTTTTCTAACAGGCTCAGATGACAGCATTTTTTAACAAGAGAGTTATTTTTTAATTAAGGTATGTGCATGGTTTTTTAGACATAATGCTACTGCACCCTTAACAGGCTACAGTACAATGCAAACTTAACTTTTATATGTACTGAGAAGCCAAAAAATACATGTAAACTCACTTTATTGTGGTATTTGCTTTACTGCACTGGTCTGGAATCAAACTAATATCTCCAAGGTATGCATGCATACAAATGGCCAATAAGCACATGAAAAGATGCTCAACATCACTATCATTAGGGAAATGAAAATTAAAACTACAATGAGATACTACCTCAGGTCCAGTAGGATGGCTACTATCAAAAAACAGAAAATAACAAGTGTTGGCAATGCTATGGAGAAAAATGGTATCCTTGTATACTATTGGTGAATATAAAATGGTATGGTGGATCCTCAAAAAATTAAAAATAGAATTATCATATGACCTAGCAATTCCACTTCTGTATGTACTCACAAGAACTGAAAGAAAGGTCTCAAGATACATATTTGTACACCCATGTTCAAATAAATATGTTCACAGCAATATTTAGAAATATAAAAGCAACACAAGTATCCATTGACATGAATGGATAAGGAAAAATGTGGTACACATATATTATTCAGCCTTAAAAAAGAAAGAAATTCTGACACATGCTTCAACATGCATGAACCTTGAGGACATTATGCTAAGTGAAATAAGCCAGTCACAAAAAGACAAATACTGTATGGTTCCACCTAACATGAGATACTTAAGAGTAACCAAAATCACAGAGACAGAAAGTAGAATGGTAGTTGCCAGGGGTTGGGGAGGAGAATGAGGAGGTACTGTTTGATGGTACAGAGCTTCAGTTTTTATAAGATGAAAGAGCTATGGAGATGGATGGTGGTGCACAATATTATAACTATATTTAACAGTAGTTATCTGTACACTTAAAAAATGGTTAAGATGGTACGTTTGTTATATGTATTTTTAACAAAAAAAAAAAAAAGGAAAAAAAAAACATACAGAGGTAACTTCCCCACCTCATCCTTTATATAAATCTACTAAAAGGATAAATTTAAATGTTTAACACACTCTGCTACATGGCTATGAGTTGGTAAGGGCAAATCTTATACAATGCTGGTAGGACTTAAAAATTAGAACAGGCTCTACTGAATTTGACGATATTGATAAAAATTACCAACTCATAAAACACCTAGAAAGTTTACTTCTGAGAATTTAACTTACGAAAGCACTTGCATATGAGCAAAAGAATATTTATAAAAGATAATTCTTTATAACATTATTTATAATAGCCCCAAACTAGAAACTACCCAAATTTTGAGGAGTAGGAACAGGTTGAATAAATTATGCTATCTCCATAAAATGAGAAATCGAACAGTTGTAAAAGCGAAAGAAAGGACCATAGTCTATGTAATGATATGGAAATAATAACTGTATTTTATACAATTTTACATAATAAAAAGGAAAAAAGCAAGCAAGGTGCTAGATAATAGTGTATGTATTTTGATATTTTCTGTGAAAGCAGGGGGATAAAATACATTTATATCTGCTAGTGATATACATCAACTCTGGAAGGATATACTAGAAATTGATAGTGTGGTGGGGTGTTGGGTGGGGGGGGGGGGGGAGGAGGGGTGAATCAGACAGATGGAAGTAGTTGGATATCTTTTACTACACATATAAATATGAACCATGTAAATGGGTTATTAATTTTAAAAAAGTCCTAATCTTAAAAGCTAACTATAAAATTAACACATGCTTTACTAATAAAACAACTACAAAATCCTCTGTAATCTTACCTGCAAACTAGCCATATAAGAATCCTCACAATTTACATAGTGTCCTAACATAGCATGTTGTGCTCGTAATTCATTATCCCTTATCCTCTCGTGTAGGTGGGTAATTTGTTGCTTCTGCCTGCAAAACATAAATTGAGGTTACATGATAAAAAATATACTTTTCTAAGAGATAGTTAAAAAAAGAACTATTAGTATTCTAATAATTTGACATGAGTTAAAAGTATTATCAATCTTAAAATTCATAACAGAAAACTGAGCAACTTGGATTATTTTGGATTATTTCCTCAGTATCCCTCTACAATATGTAAAATTGAGGAATATATATTTTAATAGATTATGTCAGTAATTATCTGCACTTCCTATTGCCATAGACTGACTGTGTCTCCCCAAAGTTCATATATTAAATCCTAACGCCCAATGAGATGGTATAAGGAAGTGGGGGCCTTTGGAAGGTGATTAGGTCCTGAGGGCAGAACCCTCACGAATGCAATTAACGTCCTAATAAAAGAGGCCTCAGACAGCTCTCTTGCCCTTTTTACCATGTAAGGTTACAGATAAATGGCCATCTATGAACCAGGAAGTTGGCTCTCGCCAGACAATGAACCTACCTTGATCTTGGAGTTTCCAGCCTCCAGAACTAGGAGTAAAAAATTCTGCTGTTTAATAACAAATACCCAGTCTATCGTATTTTGTTACAGCAACCCAAATGGACTAGACACCTATTAGCTTATACCTAATAAAATGGTAATTATAATGGTGTTCAAAAAGTAATAAAAGTCAATTGATTCTGATTGTTTGAGGGAGAGTATATTCATATAATAAAAGTCTTAAATTTTGGTCTGTTTTAAAAAAGTACAGCATAGGAAATATAGTCAATAATATTATAATAACTATATGATTCCAGGTGGATACTAGCCTTCTCAGAGTGATCACTTTGTTAATATACCTATATGTCTAATCACCATGTTGTACACCTGAAACTAATATGTCAACTATAACTGAAAAACAAATTTTTAAAAAATAAAAGTATTTCAAGAATGTACAGTGAATTAAATTATAAGTGTTCAAAATATATATCTGGCTGGGTTTGTAATTATTTATATATAAAATCCACTTGTAATAGAAATATCAAATATTTTTAAATAGCTTTTTCATAAAATCGATTAAAATATTGTCTAAAAACTTCATTTATTTATAAAGTATAGAAGTATCAAGCATTAAGCATATTCTATGTGCCAGGCTCTATTCAAGAAAGCAGAGAGCAGCATAGAGAATAATAAAGCCCAGATGTCTATGCTCTAATTTATATTCCAGTAGGTCTTGCTGAATTGTGGTCAATTTCTAAGCAAAGTCTTTTAAAATTTCAACTAATACATACATCTAAAGGTTTGAAGTAGGATTTAATTTTAAGGCTAAAATGTCTACTACTTTATCCCATATAAGCACATGAAAATAAGTGGTAATCAGCATTAAGAAAAACACCTCTTCGAAGTTTTATTTCCCAATTACCATGATGGAGAACACATTTAATTATCTCGAAAGTATATATAATGATGTAGAACCAATATATATGATAGATAATATAATTAAGTAGTATTAAGACTTATTGCTCAAAATAATTAGGAGACAATTAAGTATAAAATAATTTTTTTTAGAGTTTTGGTACTCAAAACACATCAATTATTAAAATGTCTCTCAAAATTTCCATAATTATCTGTAAATTATTTCATTTTAAACATTCGTGATTTTCATATTTTCTGTGCCTTCACATCTAACATACATTAAAGGAAATTACTTTAAGGTAGCTTTCTAATTTGGTAGTTCCCAAGTATAAAATACAAAGACACTATCTTGCAGCTTTGATAGTTCATTAGCATTGCAACTAACTTGCTACATGTACAAAAAAGATGAAGAGGAGTTTCCAAATTATGAGTTACTCTAATGTAAATGGGAAGATGACAGAACACAGACAGTCAGACAAACAGAACAATCAACCTTCAGTTCTGACAGTGGTGCTTAAAGGGACTGAGACAGGTGAAGGACAGACATGTCACATCAATGTATTTGCAAGGTTCTATTTTTTCAAGTCTACATAGTAGATACAAAGGTATTTGTTTTTTTAATCTACATTTCTGTATGCCTGAAATATTTAGCAATTTAAAAACAGACTCACCGATCAATTACAATTTCTTTCTGCCTTAGTAGTCCTTCTTTTATTTTCAACATTGATTCCCATTTCGTGAAATCCTGATAGCCAGAAGGTGAATAACTTTGACGAGATGATCCAGTCAAAACCTGCACAAGCATGTTTATACTATTAGTATATTAAAAGTGTCAAAAAGAAATATTTATGTATCATCTAATATTTTCCCAATGATTTCCATTAAAAAAATAGAGCACTCTCCCTTTAATTTTTTTAAAGACTATCTGAAATCACATTTGTGAATACAACATAACTTGAAAAATATCAAGGTAGTTCCACAGTAAATGTACAAGTCTAATAAAGAATTAGTGACAACAGAACATTCAACCACGCTTATTATAATACTATACATAAGATCTTGTTCTCATTACCTTGTGGAAGCTTTCTGGAAATACGAGATTAATCATTTCCTAGGAAAGGAGTACAATAAAAGAATGTACCATGGCTAAGCTAGACAAACATTACCAGAAGAGTTTCCACAAAGTAATAAAAACAGTATCTATAGTATTCAGACTTCAAATTGTCATTCATCACATCATTATCTAATTTCATAAAATTTCAAAAGTTGAAATGTTTTCACAAAATAGTAAATATATCTATAGAAAATATGACTATTAAGCAGATGATCTAGATCAGGAGTCCCCAACCCCCGGGCTGTGGACCAGTCTGTGGCCTGTTAGGAACTGGGCCACACAGCAGGAGGCGAGCAACAGGAAAGTGAATGAAGCTTCATCTGTATTTGCAGCTGCTCCCAGAGCTAACATCACCGCCTCAGCTCCACCTCAGCTCATCAGGCATTAGATTCTCATAGGAGCACTGGTTCCTGGTACCAAATAGGTTGGGGACTACTAATCTAGATGATTACTGGTCTCCAGTTTAAACTGTATCATTTAGAAAAAAATCTGCTTAGAATTTTTTTTTTTTAATTTCAGGTATTTAAAACAAATCAGCAACAATAAAAACCAATATGACAGATATCCTTGAATTTCTATTATTGAATCAATGACAAAAATTTAATATTGGTTTTAATGGGTTAAACAGTGTCCCCTCAAAAAGATATGCTGAAGTCCTAACCCCTAGAACCTCAGAATATAACATTATTTGGAAGGTAGGGTCTTTGCAGATATAGTCGAGTTAAAATGAAATCACTCGGGTGGTTCCTAATCAATATGACTGGTGTTCCACGAGAAGAGGAAATCAGAACACAGACATGCACAGAGGGAAGACTGTGTAAATACATAGAACACCACATGAAGATGAAAGCAGAGATTGGAGTGATGCATCTATAAGTCAAGGAACACAAAAGATTAGCAGAAAACCACTAGAAACTCGGCCTGAAACAGATTCTTCTTCACAGCCCTCAGGAAGAACCAACTCTACTGACACCTTGATTTAAAACTTCTAGCTTCCAGAACTATGAGGCAATAAATTTGTTGTTTAAGCTACCCAGTTTGTGTTCTTTGTTATGGAAGCTCTAGGAAACTAATACATTGGTAAACAAATAGAATATAAATTCCTTGACAATCTAAATGATGCTATATAAACACCACAAAGCAACTTTAGAAGAATTCAACTGTGAAGTGATATTTTTATCTTTTGTTTTCCAAAGATGCTACTGACAAGACCTAGCTCTGAATAAACCACTAATTACGTGACATTAACTAACCCTAGATTAATCCTTTAAATTAAGATTGTCAAGTAACACTAAATGAGATGTTTCAGGAAGGAGAAAGACACTACAAGGTGAACAGACTAAGACGAAAAGAAACTAGGTGATAACAGGGTACCGTAACTGTCAGATGGGCAGATATTTGGAGTACAAATGATATGAGTGTTATAGGCACAGGTTAATCAGATACCCTGTCTCTGAATTTCATTTTTTCCCTTGCCTAACATACAACCCAGACTGATATTCAGCCAGTATGTGCCAATAAGGATATATTAGTTGTTACAATACTAATGCTAGTGGTTGGTAACTAGCTCCTGCCCAAACTCCCCATATGTTCCTCTTCACTACCCAGGTCACACAACTCTCTCCATCATCCACCAAATAAAGAGTTACTTCCTGACATAAAAAGGGGCCCTCTCAGGACCCTGTTCCACCCATAAATGGCATCCTTTCTGACTGACTGGTTCCTGCACTAGCCCCTTAAAATTCTTTCATCTCAAAACTACCTACCAACTTATATTTAGTTGGCGGAGCTAGGATTCAAACCCAAGCAGCCCAACAAAAGAGCACACACTCTTAGGTACCACACTGTCAAACTGTTTCTTGTTATGGCCTATTAAGAAGGTATTCCAAATTTCATAACACAAGGGCTGAAAAAAGTTTTGAAACTAATTGCTCTTACAATCTAAGAGAATATTCAGCACCATAAACAATATTGTTGATATTAAGAGAAAGCCTTTACTTATTGAACTCCATGTTACTTAATGACTTTCAATTTAATGGGTAAATAATTTCATGAAATTTATTTTGTCGATCTATAGCTCAAACAGGGATTAAAATTAGTAAAAGCTAAGCAAAAGACCATTAACAATAATTCCGAAACTTAACATAAACTTTGGAATTATAAGAATGATTTGGCAAACAACTTATGCTATAATTTATAATCCTAAATATTTTATTTGGAGACTAAAGGTAAATATATATTTTGTTTACATACTGAGTTACATATTAATTTATATCTGATACCAGTTGAGAGATATTTTAAATATTGGTTTTTGTATATTGTTATCACACCTAACAAAAAAACTTCTAAGGTAGCTTAAGGATCCTATGGTCTACTCTTCTGAAGATCAAAAAAGGCTCCACCATTTCTGATTACTACACATCAGGAATCATCTATATCATAATATCTTAAGGTATGGTTTGCCTTATACATCTTGTGCCTATTTCAATAAGACAAGTGCCTGGGTAAAAAAGGCAGTGATTTCTCAAGAAGACTTTAACTATTCTACTCTTCATATGTCATCCGCTAAAAAACTTTCCTATGGCTGACAACTTCCTAAGGAAAAGCCTTTTCTTTTTTGTAATACTTCTTGGCACCAAGAAAGAGAGGGAGTAAACAAAAGGAAAAAGTTCTGCAAGAAAAAAGCAAATGACAATGCTACTTGGTTTATAACACTTGAACCATTGGCAGGATGGTGTGCTAAAGTACTTGCCAGATACTTCTATGAATATATGTAAAACAAAATAGAAGAACTTACTCTTGTGATTTGAGCTCCCTTGATCTAAACTCTTTTAATAACAAAATATATAAAAATTGATCTATAAAACTGAGTAAACAGGGTTAAAAAAAAGGAACCCTTTCCTTTTAGTTAAGATGCAATATACAAAGAAGTATCAAACCAGTAGCATGACAGTCTTTATTACTAAACTTCAACCTTGATTCATAAAAGTAGTTTAAAAAGGAGAAAGAAATCTAACAGAAAAAACAAATGCTACAGGTGGACTTAAAAGTAATTTTAAATACTTGTTTACATCTGCCTATCACTAAAATGGACAATTATGGAGACATTTAACCTTCTAAGGCTTTTATAATGAATCCACAGTATATGAATATTAAATGAAGTTAGAGAATATAATTTGAAGTACCTAGCAAGACACCGTACATTATGATTTGGCATATAATATAAACACTGCTACACTACTAAAAACGTATAGAGAAAGAACAATTGATGAAAATTTATTTTTATTATAACTTACAGCAGTTCAGGCTCCAGTCTTGACAAGGCTAAAAGAAAATCTGCAGAAACAGCACAGGATTGTTTTGTCTACACATGGGAAAAATCAGTTACCTAGCCTGGAACTATTTATCTTTTGTAAGTTCTAACACAAGGGTTGACCAGTGAGAAGGGTATTAGTTTATGTTCAAATTGGTTCTTCCTCACATTTCCACATTACAATCTCACAGAGGCTGTTCTTCAAAAACTGCCAATTAAATGTTTTAGCAAATGTTAAAGGCTTCCTCCCTGTTATTTATAAAATGAATTGCCCTCTCTTAATTATGCATTTGGTAGGCTGAAGAGAACTTACAAAATCTTACTTGTATCAATTATCTATTAGGTTCCAATCCTTGCACCCAAAAGCAGATGGGGGAAAAGGCATTTTCCCTCCAAGAGTGACACAACATGAACCAAAAGTACACATAAGTGTACACTTTACACTTCTAGATGGCACTATCTTAGCTTTGGAACATTAACAAGTGGAAAAAAGGAGGTAGCCAAGTCAACTGCCTTAAAACCTTCCACTAAAAGTTATTGAAAAGCCCAATATGTCAATGCTTTCTTTTGTTTTATTGTGGATAAGGAGTTATAGTTTGCCCACTACGCCCTTACACAATGCTGGCTAACATGAACAAAACAAGCAGGAGTGGCGATATCATTCTTGGATATCATAAAATTTAGCACGCCTCCCCCCCAAAAAGCATTAAGAAAAACTATTAAAAATAAAAGGGAAACAAATGAATCCACAATCATAGCGAAGACTTTAGTATACCTTTATGAAATAAAAAATCAGAAGAGGGGTTGGCAAATCCATTCACCATCTATTTTTCTATGGCTTGCAAACTAAAAATAGATTTTGTATTTTTTAACGGTTAAGATTAATTTAAAAAATTTTATGACACATGAAAATTAAATGAAATTTAAAAATCAGGGTCCACAAGTAAAATTTTATTGGAACATAGCCACCTATATTCATCCTTTTACATATTGTCTATGGCTATTTTCCCAACATTGAAGTTGAGTAGTTTGTAAAAGAATCTTTCTCTTTCTCCCTCTCTTCCTCTCTCTCTGTGTACACATACACACACACACGCACACATGTGCACGCACACAAAGCACACTTTAAAATTGTGTTATGATATACAGCATATCAATAACTAAAATTTTAGATGAAATGGACTTCATAAGAAAATATCAACTTTCAAAATTAACTTGAGATAAAATATCTGAATAATCATAAGATTGGAAAAAATTAATCTATTCCTTAATTTAGGTACTGATTTTGTAAGTAGTTCCTACCTAAATTTAAAGGAAAGACAGTGAAAGAAGAAAAAATTTGAGAAAAGTAGTAAGGCAGAACTTG